GTTACATTGCTGGACAGAATGACTGATCTATTGTCTCGGTTTTGTGTATGGATGTGGAGTGGAAAGATTATTAGAATTGCGATGTTGGTGGAGAACAGAACGTCCAGTGGCTGTACCAAAGAATACAGGAAGCCAGTTGCAGTCCTGTTCAACACTCTTATTGACTTGTCCATTCAGAAGAACATCTAGTTGACCATTTGGTCAATGGAAGAAATATCTACTGATGATTCCAGACAATTTCTGAGTTGTTGTATTTGCAGGTGGCCCAGATTCAAACCTAGAAGTTGCCCAGACATTTAAGTATCATTCATCTTGTTTCTTTTTTCTTTTTTTTCCAGTGGCAAGCAAACCTGGAGTCTCTCTCCCAGGACTTTCTTGCAGCAGAAGAACTACCTGGAGTATTTGGGAGGTTGCTGCAGTACAGACAGAAGTTAGTGCCAGCACCCTTTCTCCTGCAGCAGTGGGGACTTCCTCCCCTCATCCTGCCCCTCTCCTACCTGGAGAGGTGGGCAATGGCCGGCTCTGGACACCTTGCACTCCTTCTGACAGTGTCTCTCCAGTCCCTTTTGCATCCTGCATGGGGTCAGGGTGGGTGAGCTACCTTTGCTGCCATAAAGGAAAGAAGAACGGGCTGGCTAGAATTTGGGGAGGGAATCTGGCATCTCTGTTGGTTGGTGGTTGATACAGTTGCCCGTCTGCTTAGTGATTGCCCCAAAGAGTGGATCATGCCCAACAGTTAGAATGTCTTCTCTAAATTACTCCCCTCTCCCAAACAATAAAACAATGTATTTGCAACTGTTTGGATAGTAAATATCCAGCTTATACTACAAATTCTAGGAATTCTATCTCCTGTTGGAGTATGATTGGCTTTCATTGATTGGCTTTATTTTGGCAGGTATCATATGATACCTTAGAGTGCAAAGTATTTACCAAGAGTGCAATGTCATTCAAACAGTGCTCCATGTAAGGTACCATTATATACTTATTTTTATTTTATTTGTTTTACTTATAAGCCTTCTCAAATGCTAAAGCGAATCTAAGGAAATAGGCTATAAATTAATGAAAACATTTGAGGGGACCCCCTCCCCAAAAAATCAATAAACTGTTAAATAACATGTTGGGAGAAAACAGTATAAATATAAACAAAGTAAAATACTCAGTATCAAATCAAATATAGAGCCAGAAATCACTCTAACCCAAGGCCTGTGGAACAAAGCCAAGCCTTTCAAGCTTTCTGAAAACACAGCAGGGTCCCAGATTTTCAGCAAAGCAATCCCAGCAGGCATGGAGAAGGGCCCTACTAGATTGCAAATGTTAATGGAGGACCTGGAATATCTGCTTTTATTGTCTATTTGAGGAAAGCTCCCTTTATTCAAATTTAATGAACTTAAAATTCAATTTAACCCTTGAATGTGTTTGATTATTTTGCATAGCTTTTACTCTGGACTGGATTTTAGAACTTTGAATACAAGTTTTGAATACAAACGTTTAAGTTTTCTTGTTGAGTTTATTCTGTTGCACAAGCTATCTTGGGAGACGTCCATAAAGGTAGCTTAGAAATAGTTTTCATAAATAAATTATACAACATTATGGATACAACCTATTAAATGTGAAGTGTCACAATTTGCCAAACAGTTATAAATACATATTTGGAAAATATTTGACTTCCATTTTGGTAGAGAAGCAAATTGGTTTGTGTTCAGAGAGATCACAATTATGCACGTGCCTTGTTCTAGTAGTTTTAATTTCTCTACGATCTGAGAACGTCATTAACCTTAAAATGTCTGCTCATTCAAATATAGTGAGACATTAAAATAACAGCTCAACTAATAGCAGAATCCTTTTCTTCCCTCTGTGGCTTCCCCTGAATTATTTGGCTCTTGGCTAGACCTCACCTATGAATTGCAAAACAGTTTCAGGGTATAGTTCAGACTCCTTCAGGCCAGGGAATGAGATCTATCTAAATAGTTAGTGCCTGCCTATCACTCTGGGCGTGGATTCTCTCTGAAACTCGGAAAGACTGCTGAAACCTGGTGACTCCACCTCCTACTTTCTCATACCTGAAACAGTGCTCAGGCCAAGACAGAAATGAAATGCCTGGAAGCAGAAACTATCCAAACATGAGCCACACCTGCCCCAAGAGCAAGGTGAAAGCTTGTCAATGGAAGTTTCTTTAAAAATAAAAATAAAACCAGCAATTCAGTAGTCAAGGGAGTCCTTTCCTAAATGTTGCATTCTTGGGCGAGGCTTAGAAACCTTGCTGGTATTTGGGACATTTTTTAAAAGGAAACTCATGGATGGACTATTCAGGTGAAAAGATTGTTGAGCCCTGTAATAGAAAAACAACAACAACCAGAGATTGGCAACTGAGTCTGAAAATGCATTTATATAGGCAGGATTTGAATTAAACTTTGTAGAAGTAGTATATCCATGTTTCTGCTTCCCTAATGCCCAAAACATTAACTTGAGTATAAACAGGGCAGGCAATGTCCCAGTAGAGAGGGTCTCCAATGCCTTAGTGATTATCTAAGGACCTAGTGGTGGGCTTGAATGTTTGAAACAACCAAACCCTCACTAGCCTGGGGAATTAGTGAATGATTGAAGGTATTCCTCGACAAGCATTTCTTTCTGCTACTACTACCCTGGATTCTCCCTGAATATTTGTCCATTTCACACACAGAAGTACTATATCTTATTCTTTTTACTCAAACAAAAAAGAAACAATCCAGGTGTTTACCACCTGTTTACCGCATTACAAAGATGCCTGGGTATATTATATCCTAACAGTCACTTGGTGGCATTGCATTTAGTAGTGTATGGCTGGATTAAAATAACCCATTACCTTGCACAGATTTGATTTCTTGGCTGGCGTGTTATTAAAAAATCATCTTAGAGGAAACACATAAATGGAGTACCATTAAGTTCTGTTCTAAGCCCTATGATGTTCCACATTTTTATTCATGATTTAAATGCTTCTCTAGGGTGTTTATGAAACTGGCACTCTAAAGCCTGATCTATGCTCCTGCATTTAGGTCCAAGAACAAAGGCAACGGAGTACGGTGGCAACAGTATGCATGAAAAGACTTAAGGGCCATAGTTGTTGACAAGCTGACCATGATCCAGCAAAGTAACAGAACCACTAATAGTCAAGACTAATTTTCATTCAGCAGTGCTTTCATCTGCAATACCATGTCCTATTTATGGCTAAATTGTATTTAAAAAACAAACAAGTGGAAAGCCCAGAAAGGCAGCCAGGATAGTGAGGGGCATAGACATATAATCCCATGACAAAATGGAGAAGTAATTGGCTATACAGTATGTGTAGGGTTGAGAAGATTGGAGTGATACGATATCAATTGTCTATTTAACATAAAAATAACATCTGGAAGATGAAGCAGAATTCTTTTTTTTGTGCTCCAGAGAACAGAAATTATTCCTGAAGACAAATTAGATGTGCAGACCCAAATAGAAAGACTTTCCTAATAGACACCAATTTTGAATAGATGGTGTTATGAGACTGTGGCCTTATTTTTACTGGAGGGAATGAGGGAGAGCTTCACTGTCCCCTATCTGTAATGCTGTACTTTGTAATGGAGAGGTGTTGTACAACATCATCTGCAGAGTTACTTCCATGGCATTAGAGCCAGATAGGAGGCTCTTCCTGTATGTCTAATGCTGTTTTATGTCTCTCCAAGGTTCCTCCAGTGACAACAGCACAGTGGTACCTACAACATCAGTGCCAACCACTTCTTCCAAAGGCCTCTCGGTAGGTGTCTCGAAATGTGAGCTGAGTTTCTAATAGTTCTTGAGGGAAAGGTATAGTAACCCTAGAGCAATTTCTGTTTTTTTCCAGTGAGTGAAAAGAACACAATTGATGCTTGTGTTTGCTATGGTAAATTGGGTGACTTGAAGACTGATAACGTTCCATTATAAGATGGGCAAGGTGGACATCACCACAACATCACCACAAGATAGTGCCCTTTGACTCACTAAGTGTCCAGCTTTTTAAAAGAGACAAACCTTGAAAGATAGTTGTGTTCTCATATGAGTGCTTATAAAAGTCTGACTGTTTTCAGTACACACAAACACAAGAATGCATTGGCAATGGGGGTCTGGATTTGAGCTGCACTTTTGGAATTGGAAATAAACAAACATAGATGATCTTGTACAAGGTCTCTGCTTTCTGTCTGTGTGTCCATCCATCCTACCATAATTGATAAAGGCTCCGAGCCTGAAAAGGAGCTGTGGCAGTTTAGTGAATTAAAGAACGAAGCAGTGTGTCTTTAATGTGATTCTTAAAGGAGGTGAATCGTTTCCAGTTGTGCATAAGCTTTAAAAAATGACAGTCTGTTTGTTTTATGGATAGCAGAGGTGCTCAACTTGTCAAATATTTTCAAAAGCTTGCTGTGACTTAGTGCATAAGTAAAGCTGTGGCTTTGGACAGTGACATTTTTGACTGTTTAAAATGTGCTGAATGAGGGGTACTTATGATGGGTCCATAATGTTGCAGATTGCAGATTCCCTGCAGTCAAAGAATAACCATTTGTGAGCATCCCTGGTTGCTTCCAGCAAGCAAAGTCAAGGGGTAGCCACCAGAGACAGTCACAAGCCAGTAATATAAGTTGCTTTTGCCACTTTTTCTCCTGAGAAACCCCATTAGGGAATATGTCTGCAACATCCCCCTCCTCCCCATGCTCCATATCATCATGCTTGCAGCACTCCCCGCCTGCCCAAGGTCCTTGATGGACTGCCCTCACTCCCTAATGCCCAACCACAGTCCCACCGGCCCATATATGCTCCCTAGTGCCCACCCACAACATACCCACATCCTCCACATGACCTTGGTGCACTCCTTACCTGGAACTCCTGCCTCTACCCACTCAATTACCCTAGTGGTCCAGCGGTTATTATGACAGCAACTTGGACTCCTGGGTTTATAATTACATCACTTAGAAACAGCAATCCCAGTCCCAATTGCCATTGTTACTCATGGACTACCTGTCTTGTACTGATGTGTGACAGCTGTTGATTGGTGCAGCACAGACTGCAAAGGGTGGGTAGTAGCTTTTCCATGTTGGGCTCTGCCCTGCTCTGTTTTTGTGTTGAACAGCAGCTAACTCTGCTCTCTTTCTTCAACTCTTCCTCTGTGCAGAAGGCGGAACTGGAAGCTGCCATAGCTGTGCCTTGTGTTTTTGTAGGACTCTTGCTAATCGGCCTTTTGGTTTTCATGGGACTCAAAATTCGGGAGAAGCGCCAGACAGAAGGGACTTACCAGCCCAGCAATGAAGAGCAGGCAGGGGCCCGTGTGGAACCGCAGACCAACCTCAAGCTGCCACCAGAGGAGCGACTTATCTGACAGACGGAAAAAGGACTCCATTTTGGGATCATTCCTTGGAAAAAGCTGCTTAGCACACTGGACTAAAAAAAAAAAAAAAAAGACTGAGAATGGATCTGTGAAACTGGAAGATCCCCAGTATGGTTGGCAGCATTCCCAGCTGGCTGGCTAGCTATGAATAGCTGTCAGTGGAGAAGTTCCAAATGCCAGAAAGAAGGCAGCCCGGAAGCTGTGATTGATAGAGATGCAAGATGGGATCCTGCTCTCTGCAGCCAGAAAGAAAAGGCCCAGCCTGATGCTATGAGAACAGACCATGCTGGCTGGATAGGCTCTGTTTGCACTGACCTCAAGGACAAGTCGTGGTCTTCTTCCTAGAATAGGATTGACTGTGCAGCCAGTGGGAACGGACGGCCTTTCTGAAGAGAGAAGGATGGTGATTTTGGGATAGGAAGGCTGCTGCCTTGGCCCAACTGGTGGATTCTGGGAGGGTTTTTTGCCTTTCAAGTGTTTTTTAAAGTCTGTGTTGGTTGTCCTCTGCCTTTAAGAATGCTATTTTCTAATAAAAGTCCATCTCCCTTTTTTGATGAGGAAAAAATGGCACCCCTTGTGGTGAGGGAGGGGTTAATGCGCTGAGTTGCTTGGTGGAAAATTTATTCTGAAACGATCTAAATGCGTAAATGGAGGATATAAATAAAATGAAGCAAATCATAGAAAGCCTTATTCCATCTTATCAAGAATCTAAAAATGTTGCTAGACCTCACACATTAAACACACTCTTTATTTATGGTATTCTTCAGTTACAAGGGCTGCTGCTTCATTATCCTTCTTCCAAGCTCTTCAGAGTCACCATCTTTCACGTATCTTGTTTTGAAATATTGGGTCATTCAGTTTACATCCTGTTTTTATTTTCTATAACTCAAGGCTGGGTATATAATGTTCCTGCCTCCTGTTTTCTCCACAGTCACCACTCTGGAAGTGGGTTGGGCCAAGAATGACGGGCCCAAAGCACCCAGCTGGCTTTCTTGCCTGAGGGAGGGCTTGCTTTACCCCCTTTTCTGTGCATTGCATAGAATGCAGGCAGTTGGGTTTTTTTATTTTATTGCAGTGATGAGTCAACTCTAGCATAAGGGCATAAAGAGACATCCTGGCTTCTCTACAGTTAGTCCTTGTCTTATGCCTATCTTTTAGTGATTGTTCAAAGTTACAGCAGCCCTGAAAAAAAGTGACTTTTTACTGCACTTAGGACCACCACAGCATCCCTGCTGTCACAGGATCAGAATTTGGGCACTTGGCAACCTGCAAATATTTTGATGGTTGCAGCATCCTGCAGTCGTGACTTTTCCATTCAGTTTTTGACAAGTAAAGTCAATGGGGAAAGCCAGTTTTGTCTAACAGTTGCGGCAAGAGGTCTTAAAATCAGCTGTGACTCACTTAATGACTACCTCGTTAAGTGACTGGTGTTTTTGGTTCCAATTGCAGTTGTAAATTGAGGATTACTTGAAGCCATCCAAGTTCAGCGGTGAAAAGCTGGTGGAAGGATAGTGTAAGAAACTTACAAAGGAATATTTTAGGCTTTGGCGGACACTAGGTGGCAGCACAGTACTGTATAGCAGGGGTTCCCAACCCCCAGGCCATGGTCCACTATGGCAGGGGTCTCCAACCTGGACAACTTTAAGCCTGGCGGACTTCAACTCCCAGAATTCCCCAGCCAGCTGAGCGATGAAGTCTGGTATTCTGAGAGTTGAAATCCGCCAGGCTTAAAGTTGCCGAGGTTAGAGACCCCTGCACTACGGGGTCGAAACCTATTTGGAACTGGGCCACACAAGAGCCGGGCTGGTGTGTGCGCTTAGCTCCACTCCTGTGAGTGGCACTCCAAAGACCTCTCTCGCATGAGTGCGGAGCTGCGTGCATGTGGCCCAGTTCCCCCACTACCCCTGCTCCAAAAGCGGAGCAGTGAGAGCAGAGGCTGAGTACGCTCTGCTCAGCTTTGCTGACTCACTGAGGCTGCCTCCGCAGGACACCCGATCTGCTTTTGGAGCATCAGGTAGCTTTGTTGAGTCTGAAGGAACATGGGATGCGCCACCACAGGCTTTTCCCGCCAAAAGCTTTTGCAAATGGATGAAAGGCTTTGGGGGAGTTGATTTCTCACTGCTTCAGGATTTCCGTCCCTTTGCAAAAAAATTTGCCGTGGAGAAGTCTGAAGGAGCTCAGAACCCTGCCCCAAAGACTTCTCTCTTGTCTGAGTGCCACTGCACATGCGCCAGCCCACTGCTCCCACAGCCTGGTTCACAAAGGTTGGCGACCACTGCCGTATAGTATCATATAAAGGTAGTCCTTGACTTACGACCACAATTGAGCCCATATTTTCTGCTTCTCAGTAAGATGTTTGTTAAGTGAGTTTTATTCCATTTTACGACCTTTCTTGCCATAGTTGTTAAGTCAATCACTGCAGTTGTTAAGTTAGTAACATGGTTGTTAAGTGAATTGACTTTGCTTGTCAGAAGGACACAAAAGATGCTCACATGACCCTGGGAACATGCAACCGTCATAAATATGGCGCCAAGTGTCTGAATTTTGATCTGAAAGGAGGATTTTTAACTCAGGTTTGGACAACTTTAGTGAGTATGTGTGTGCAGTGGAAGCTGCATCGGGGTAGATAATTTCACGTATTTCTTAACTTAAAATAGCAAGGTTGCTTATAGCCGGAAGCACTTGGTGGACTACCAAAAGGGATGTATCTTAATAGAATAATTAGAGTTGACCCAATGCAACCTACAATCTAAGTTGAAGTCTTTAAAACCACCCACTAGATTTTTTTTTCCCCTTCAGGAGTACCCTTCCCCCTTTTATGACCTTTTATCTCTACTAAGATTTAAGGCTTCTTACACCACCTTCCCACTGCTTGCTAAATCTAGCTATTTCTGGCTGCTCTTCTGTAATTATTTACATAGCAAATTCTGGACCTAGAAAGGGCTTGATTTATTTCTGTATTAGTGTCCTGATGGATCCATAGCTTTTGTCAACATCGAGGGGCAAAGGACTGGTTTATAGCTTACAGAAAAAAATGAGCAGACAAACTCAGTCTCTCTCCCCCCCTCCCCTCCCACACACAGAACTATCGTTACCGTAACACTTTAGGTCAGGGGTGTCCAACCTTGGCAACTTTAAGCCTGGAGGACTTCAACTCCCAGAATTCCCCAGCCTGCTTTAGGTAATACTGCTTGATTTTATTTATGGGCATTGAACTTCAGGTAAACCATGCCACCACCATGCCAAACTACTTTTCCTGATATGCTGCTGCTTGATAAAGGTTGACATGGGAAGCAGTCTTCCACCCTGAAAGGAGGAAAGGAGGTCTGCCCAGCTCAACAAATTCATTTATTGAAATGCAGCTTCTAGGAATGAAGTCCTGCCAGTTGGCTGTACATGAACTAAGTGCTCTTTTTCCTTTGTGCTATCGATAGATCCCGCCCCCCGCCCCCCACACTTCTGCTTCTTGCAGTATTTTTATGTGCCTGGACAGATGAAGCACTTCTACACTGCTGCCCCCTCTTGAAAGGCCTCCAGGTTTAAAGAGTAATTGTGACTCAAACACAGGAGATTCTTTTCTCTTAAACATTCAGTCTATGTTCGGGATGCTCTTTCAGGACTCAAATCTTTTCCTCAGCTCCAGCACTTTAGGCTGCATCAACTGCCTAGAAACTAACTGAGGCGGTAAGCTGGTGGCCCTGCTTAGGATGTTCTTCTTTGCCACAGAGTCATTGGCTTTTGTTTGTAAAAAATCTGCAGGTGTTTGGATGGTGGAACTACTAGCAACTGATGACTCAACCTTCAGGTTCTCGTTGATTGCAGGTTCAAGGGTCTGGTGGTCAGTCCTACATTCCTGTTGCAACTTGGTAGCGGTGTGGCTCTCTGGTGTAAGTGGACTAGGAAAGGCAGTTTCAAGATCTGCCTTCTGGGTCAATGGCGCTTCTGATGACTCTCTGCTAGCCTCCTGGAAGGAAAGAGTTGGGGTGTCCAGACCAGGACAAACTTGCAGCTCAGGGGAGCTGTGGACCAACACTTCATTACTTCTGCTTGCAGCTCTGGCAGACAACGGCAAAGTGCTTGACATGTCCTCTTCATCCACGTAGCCCAGGAACATTCTGTCCTCGGACAGAGAATCATCAGCATCATCCTGTTCCTCAGATAGGGCTTCGTAAAGGGCCTCTCTACTGGGCCTCCGCTGCAACAGGTCCGAAGACAACAGGGTCAGGGTTCAGCTTCATTATTGCAGTTGCACCTCCATAGGTACCCAGGGATTGAGCTGGTAGGGCTTACCTTAGTATAGAAGTTATCCTCTTCTAGGTTACTGAAATCCAAGCTGCGGGTCCCATAGAGAGGCTGTTGAGCTTGGCTTGACTCCAGCAAGTTTAGTGTCTCAAAAATTTCACCTAAGAGGTCAAATTTCTCTGCATTGAGAGAATGCATTTCCCCAGGTTCCACAGAGGAGTCTGGGGAAGGTGATTTGAAGGGAGTTGAAACATTCCTGCAAAATAAATATATCAGAGAGCTTGACATTTCTGTACAGGTGAGGCAGTTAATAAAATGCAAGGGAAACTTTCTTATTAGCAATTGGATTTAAGTAAAAGGATTTGCTAAAATGCGTGTGTCTCATTTCTTCCTCTCGTAGGACTCTTCTCTCAAAAGGTGCAAGAAAACTGATTAATAAAGCAGATGGACATGTGTTTTGAAGCTGAGAGTCAAAGGCAATATTTAGGGAGCTACCAGATAAGCTAATCTCAGCCTGGGTTTGCACAACACCGCTAGTGGCATTCAAGGGTGGTCAAATGGGAGGAGTCAAATTTTAAAAGCAGCATTTTGTCTCTGCCTTTTCTGGTTATGTGGGGTGCTGCGTACACATATGAAAATGTTGGAGCTTGTGAAACCACAGGTCTATGCCACTTCCTTCATTTTGGAAAAGTCCTGCAGAGAACTTTGAACATTATCACTGTGTATTACAAAGCTCCCTGCTGTGGCAAGGTTTTCTGTATTTGATGTGGACACAGGCTGTATGTAGGCCCTCTATAGACTTCGTTCCATGCTCTTTTGAAAACTCTCCCCATTTAAAGATATACTGTATGTCTGGTTTTGTTCAAGGAGGGTGAGATTCCTGCATTTGCCCAGATGAGGAATTCTTGATAAGTGGTACTCGTTTAAATTCCACATTGCCACATTTTTAATGAATTTAAATTGAGTTGTTTAGCTGTAATGCATTAGCAGGGGAAATAGTGCAGGCTTGACTCTCTCACTAGAGTCATTATCTTACCTAATTTACTACTAGTTAAGAGTTAGTGACCCCTGCTTCATCGGGTCTGAGAATTGATTGATGCTGTGTTACAGGGACAATCTTTTGGTTACTATTTTCTCTTTCTCTGTGGAAAAGAAGATAACTGTACAATGAATGTAACCTGTACAATAGGGGAGAATTAGTTTTTCCAGAGCTGACTGAACGATTTTTTTTTTTTTTTGCCACATAGGTCTTCCCTTTTTTTGTCAGTGTGGTTTGTGCAGAAGCATTTCCTAGGGGGCTGAGCCCCTTCTTCCCCCTCGGGCTTCAACGGTTCTTGGGACTGAGCTGACACACAGAGAGAGAGCTCAGCTAATAAAGCAGAGCGGCTGTCAGAAAAAAAAGAAGTGGAGCCCAGCTGCTCTCCGCTTGCTTAGGTTGTCCTACCTTTGAGTCTCCAGTTCCGTCTCACTGTTTGTTCTTTGTGGTCGCCTCGGGCGAGACTGAAAAGAGGAGAAAACCTGAGTCACCATGCAGCCCTGGGCTTGTAAGGGAACTTCTATCTTTTTCTTAACAGTACTTTGAGGTTCTGGGGATAAGGGAATCTTTCCTTTGGGATTTAGAGTTGTATACGGATAGTCCTCGACTTATAACCATTCAAAACTACAATGGCACTGAAAAAAGGGACTTAAGGATCATTTTTCACATGACCTCCATGGTCACCTAATCAAAATTTGGATGCTTGGCAACTGGTTTGTTTTTATGATGGTTGCAGTGTCCTGGGGTCATGTGAAGCCAGATTCACTTAATCACCATTTTACTAACTTAAGAACTGCTGTGATTCATTTAACAACTGTGACAAGACAGCCATAAAATGGGGCAAAATCCACTTGACTGTCTCACTTAGCAACATAAATTTTGGGCTCAGGTGTGATCATAAGTCAAGGACCATCTGTACTCTTCACTTGAGACATCACAGCAGAATGCCCACCCAGACTGACTGTCCTGCAGGTATGGACTGGCACTTCCGTTCTCAAACATCTCAGCAATGGTTTTGCTGTCTGGGGATTTCTGGCGACTGGAACCAAAACATCTGGCCAATATCCAGCTAGGGATGATTAGTTGGTCTAATTATATCCCTGGGATGGGATGGGAGAGAGCAAAGACTCATTTAAAGATTTCTAACACATCAAAAATGCAGCTTTGTGAGGCACCATCCTTTGATATTCTTTCAACACTCTTAGTTGATAAAAAAAGTAGTGGCATATAATTCTCTTTCTCCAGGCTTAGAAAATATGCCTGTAAAAAAGGTTGTAACACAAAGAAGACACCAACCCTTAAATCCTGTAGATTTTCTCATTTCTGTCCAGAGAAAACTTTTGTTTCACGGTCTCTGAATCAGGCAATTAAATATTTTGCCTGCATACAGACGGGAAGAAAGTCCCATCTGTAAATATTTTCAGTTACTTATTGTCCATTCACAATGAATTTAAAAGGAAGCGTGCACCTATTTGTTATAAACATTAAGAAGAATCTGCCATAGAAAATGTCTAGCACTATGCAACAGGCTATAATTCCCAAGATTATTCAGAGGAAGCCATTAACAGTTCACCTGACACAGAATGAGATAGTTGAAATTGAAATTTATTTTTTATCCTGTAGCACTGTTACTTTCTGCTTTATGAAGACTATATTGGGCTTTTGGCACATTAGAACTTAGATGGACATTAATTGAGTTCACTTTACATAGCTGCTCTTCTGAGTTTTCTTCTGCAGGCTATACAAAATTTACTTGTAGTTAGCTGCTATTAATATTCCAGCTATTTTCTCCCCTTCAGCCCCAGGGCACAAAAGCATAACATTGCATTCTAAGAATAATTATGAGAAGTTAAGGGCCCATGAAATGTTACTAAGGTCTATTTTGTAAACCTTTGGCTGGCTACAATAAAAATATTGTTTTTAAGCTGCAAACAAAATGACCGAGAGTGAGACTAAGCTATACAAGACATGATAGCCTTAAGATATCATTTGTTTGATTACTTACTTATGTCTACTCCTCACAACTGCTTACACAAGTTGCACACATTCAAAACTTCCTGCCCACCTTTTTATAAAAAAATATGTCCTTCTCTGTTTCTTTTGAGTTTTGTTCCAAGTGGTTCAAGAATCTTGTGGAATCGCTGCAGAGATCTACTACAGAGGACACCCAATCTTTGGGCCATACAGCAATGAGCACCAGACCTGTCCCTCTGCTCTTGTTCATTTCCTTCCCCCAAAGATCCCCTGATCTGACTCCTTCCGGTCTTTAAGCCACTGACACTTCCATTCTCTCAATACCTTCCCAAAGTGCTGGGTGATGGGCAGTCGCCTTTGAAGGTTCTCAGATTGTTTGTTTCTGGTAGGCAGGATGGGACTGGAGATCTGACAGTCATTCAGGGGCTGTTCTTGCTCCCTGGGCTGGCGTAAAGTGGAATCCTAGAAAAAAACAGCACCTTATAGAGCAGGGGTGTCAAACTCGATTTCATCGAGGCCCGCATCAGGGTTATGTTTGACCTTGGGCGACTGGGTGGGCATGGCCAGGGATGTGTGGCCATAATGGTGCCTGGGGTGGCTCCGTTTTCAGCCTTCTGCAACCCTCTGCCAGCGAAAACGGAGCTCAGGTGGGCCGCACGGTTGACCTTGATTCCCAATGAGTTTTGGTTGACCTCGACTCCCAATGAGTCCATACATACATGGCTAAGTTGTTTTCTAGGCAAGACTATGGTTTGCAATTTTATTTTGTGTGTTTTTTCCCTTTTACTTCCACTCTAGCCTATATACCTGGAATTTCCTGGAAGTTTCCCATCTAGGTACTAACTAAATCAGATCCTGCTAAATTTTTAAACTTCTCCACATCAGCAATGCGCTGACTTCTACTTGGATTTTAGCATACTACATGCAGTGTTTTTCATCCTTGGCAACCTGAAGACAGATCGATTTCAATT